AATTTAGCTTTGCATGTTATTAGGTGATGGGACTTACCACGTATCTATATAGCTCATTGATGCAAGTAAGGTTAAATCAGTCGCATTGTTTGCTTTGACTGGGCTTAGGATATCAAAGAGCTCATATTTTAGTGCCCTGTCATGTTACAGTATGGTTGGCCATAGAAGGCCTGACCATGTCTCCAGTCTGATGCCTGATTTGGGAAGTGGTACACTCTGTAGGCAAAAATGTATTGCTTTGAACATTGGTAGCTACTGTTTTTCCCAGGCAGATATTTTACAACTTGTTTTTCCCTCTTTTAACTTTGTTGCAGTGTTTCAGTCCTTTTTGCAGTGGCCCCAGGGCAACTGAGTGCAGGAAGATGTTTCCCCACACATTCACAGAGAGACATCCACCTGCCTATCACTATGCATACGCGGCTCAAATTTCAAGCCATGGGTGGCCCTGTCAGCACAATGTGGCTTGACAAACTTCACTTACAAAATCAAAAGTGCCTGGTGGAAAATTGTCAGCCAGACAATCACTAGTCATATGCAGTATCCAGTATCCAGTCATATGCAGTCACTGTTCAGGTAGTCAAACAGCCATAGCATAGCTGGCAGGTGGAGATTTCTCTATCCATGCTCTTTAGAAAGCCTGCAGTGCTCTGGGAATCCTGTGGCATGGGCACAACGTTTATGAAGTATTTATTTAGAAAATAGAGATAATGTATATGTATATATACTGTTGCAATGCACATATTCAACTTTCCTTCATTCCCCCACCATTCCATTCAGCCACCGAGAGAAAAGAAAGACAGCCCTGTGTAAACTCCAAGTCGCTCTAGTCAGAGATGGGCACCAGTGCATCGGCGTTATCACACGGAGTGAGTTACGTGCCTCTATTCCCACAATTATTATTTCCCCTACGGGAGGCTGGTGTGAAACAAAAGTGGCCTATATGCTGCTGGGGAAAGGGGCATTAGAGGAAATCACATTCTTTTTTGTTTTAAGTCCTACCCCAGGCTAAGAAATAAACACAAAAAGAATAAACAGTCCTGTTTCCAGCCTCACCCCCTTCACCTACCGAATCTGGTTTGGCTTTTACTTTTAAACCTCAAACACCCATAAAAACATTCCTGAATCTGCTGTCACATGATGTACTGGGTGCTTCTTCCAGTAGTAGCAATTGGTGGTCTCCATTATCTTCACTAGTCAAACTGACCAGTCTTGAACCCCTTCTTGGGTGATATGCCCTTTTAAATGGACAACACCCATGTCAATAGGAAGCGAAGAGGGCATTGCAGAATGGACTGTCCCACACTGCAGGGCAGAAGAAAGAAGACTTGGGACCTGGCATGTGACTAGAGTTTTACTGTAGATGAAGCTGGCTATACACTATGCACATTTTGGCTGGTTCTTCATGAACCAGCTGAAATTCACACAGTAGGTGCCGCTGTCAGCACCCTACTGGCCAGCATCTCTCAATCAGAAGATCGAAGGAGCCGGATGGCAAATCTTCAAACTGATTGGCTGCAAGCACCGTTCATTTATTCTGACAGCAGCCAGTGGTGATTCATCCATCAATGTTCTTAAGTGTTGATGGAGGAATCTGTTCTATTTTTTTCATTCAGCCCGCGGTTTGAATGATAAACATAGAACATTGTATGGCCAGCTTTAGTAGCTGGAGGGTATAGATGGATTTTTTTTTCTCCCTGGGGATGAGCTCTAAGGTAAGTGACTCCTCTGTCTAGTTTCTGTGTTTACTGGATAACACTTGTGTAATGTTATCCAGTAAACACAGCAACTGAATGTTTTACTTTTTTGCCTGGGATCGCTCTGTAAACAAACAGCAAAGTGTTTATCATACCTCCCAACTTTTTGAGATGTAAAAAGGGACACCTTCCAGCAGAATGTATTTAGGCAATGGACACATCCCGCCATGCCAACTATAAAACAGTTTTAGGTCAAAAATGACTGGTAAAACCCAGAAGTGTTGTTGCCCTTAATTTCCTTTACACAGGCTCAAAATACCAAACGATCAAGTAGAGGTTTTAGTGAATAATGAGACTCTTGATAGTTAAAGTGATACTAAACGTAGGAGTTACATCTTACAAATGCATTACAAGTACCTTAACTACTAACAAAAATGTATCTTATTTGTGTATCACTCGGCTGTAGATCCTCAAATCATCTCTGAATTGGTTCTGACACTGTCCTTCCTTCTGGAGGGTGACTACTTTTGTTCCCCATGGTCCCTGTGTGTGTTGTAAAGTAGTCACCGCTCTATGCTCGCTCCTGTGATAGACTATAACTTCAATACAAATTAGTAAACTAAACGTGAGATTGTAGTCTATCACGGGGCAAGCTTGGAGCGGTGACTACTTTACAACAAACACAGGGACCATGGGGAACAAAAGTGGCCACCCTCCAGAAGGAAGGACAGTTTCGGCACTAATTCATTTGAGGATCTACAGCCGAGTGATATACAAATAAGATACATTTTTGTTAATAGGTAAGGTACTTGAATGGATTTTTAAGGTTTAACTCTTAAATTATGTGTCACTTTAAAGGATTCCTTTTCATAGATATCTGTACGTCAGACCAAAAAGAGGGACAACTGAGGAGGAAAGAGGGACAGAGGGATTTGGTTCTAAATGAGGGACAGTTGGGAGGTATGGTGTTTATACATTGGGTGCCTGGAGTCCTTTTATTGGAATCTGAAAATGAGGAGAGCCGTTCAAAAGCCATCTCTATAATTGTTTTGTATACATTGAACCTTGAATTCAATGCTCCCCCTGTTTCCTTAGTCTTAGTATTGTCTCTCAGATCTGTTTGTACCCTGGGACTACATTGAAAAGCTTGGGTGTGTCTGATGTAAGATTACAAAGCGTCTCTGGTGAATGTGGGTTGCGTCTGTATAGTAATCATCTCTATACTCTGTGTCAGTGGACAAGATAACATTGTAAAGACTTCTGCAAATGCATTTCAGTCTGGAACCTAAACAGAGTTACATAAACACTGAGAGCCTCCAGTAGGAAAGTATGGATAATAACAACCAAGAAGAAGCTCCACTTCTACAAGTGCAATGTAACCATACATGGTTTGATATAGGAGGAAGAGGCTTTTATAGCTTTGCGCACTGCCAGATGTACTTTGTGACTTTCCATAGTAAGTGTTGCAGTCTGTGCATTTTGTACTAGTAGTCTTCTGTGCACATGTGAATATGAATAGAAAACACAGCTTTGTAGATACAAGTGACCGTAATTCCCCTAATATTGTTGCTTCTAACTGCTAGAGCAAATAAATCATCTTATATTCATTAGTTAAACCAACATATTTTTATTTTACTTACAATTCATTTTTTTCTACTTCCTGTAATTGTGCCCAAGCATTGCATCCTGGGAATATTACATCAGCAGAGTATTGCTGGGAAATCACATCATGAGATCTCAGGGAAAGTAATTTTCCTCCCCTGAGATAATATGCATGTTCACATATCCTAGTCACAGGTCTAGTCACATGTGCCCGAGTCCAAGGAAGTAAATGGAGATATATTAATCTGCCCTTAGTAAAAATGGCCACCTTTAGAAGAATGGTGAGGAAAAAGAAAAATAAGGAATGCAAAGAGATAAAAAATCTGCAATTATCTATAAGTATCTGTACGTGTTTGTAGATTGTGTGGCAATGCCACTGTGTGATTTGGCAAAATAGTCACCCAGGACTCTCAGCCAGAGGGACTGAGCGGTTCCAGAAAGCAAATACTTTTAGTAGGCAAGAGCTGACTTTGCAGTTCTTTCCAGATTTTCTGGATTTGGCTTGGGATCCTGGAACTGGGAGATTCCAAAGAGAATAGGGAGGGATGAAATCTCCATTCCTGAGTCCGTGGTTAAGTAGTGGCCAGCACCTGTGCACAGCCCTTATGGAAAGGGTGCTGGCTAATGTTCAGGGCTCCACCTGGGAGACAGGAGGACTCCACCCAGGAGTCAGAGTGGAGTCCAGTGCAGCATGGAGCTGCGGTTTATGAACCGATTGTGCAGGATAGCATGGTGTCAAGGCTGTCTGGAGGGAACAGACAGTGGTCTGAGGCCGGAGCAGCAGTGCTACAAGTGCAAAGCCAGGAGGCTGAATGTGCATGTACTTGTGTTGCCTAGAGATGCTGAAGAACCCCTGCGAGGGTAACTGCGTTATTTTTCTGAACTTGATTTTCATAAAAAATGGGCAAGGAAGCCTTGAGTGGATGTGTCCGTAAGCTCCTCTGCTCGAAGCTAAATCTCACAATTGTCATTACTAAACATTTCTAAAGCTGTGTTTGTTTTTATTTTGAAGATATGGGTAAAGTTCCCCTTTAAAAAGAAATCCCTTTTATGTAGTGAGTACTGCCTTTTGTCTGTCCATCACTTCCAACAACTTCCTGGGTTTCCAGTGTGCTTTGTGTCTCTTTCCCTGCTGCTTGCAATTTCTCAAGATTACATATCCCATTATGCATTGCTTACAGCAAGCAATGATAATGTTACATTGTTCAGACATTGAGTTGTAGTTAGGAAGGCAGGCTCCGTAAGAGTTGTGACACAAGCAAATGCATATTTTCAAGGGCTGAGTTAAATTGTGTCACTGCATTGAGGAAGTACATCCTATGAGCATCCTCCAATAAGAACGTTTACAACCTTCTAGACTGATATGGTTGTTAGAAGTAGGATAGAAATTATGGAAATTCAATGTAGAAAAACATATTAAGGTTTTGACCACAGATACCCTTTGATCGTTGTGTTATAATAAGTGCTCATTATCACACAGAGAATATCCAAAATGCTAGTAAGTTTGTGGTCAGTTGTTCAGTTTAAGCTGGTCATACACTGGTCCAATTTCGGATCCTTTTGTTTTCCTGTCTAATATACTTTTGGTGTCTAGCAGAGCATCCTGTGACTTGTAGTTCCTGAATAGCTGCAGGTCAACTGTAATTTATTAAGATACTTCACGTACTATTGGAAATCCTTATTGTCTCTCCATGTGCCTTGCAGGAGTTGCAATCTCAGATAAGCGGCATGCAGCTGGAACTGGCTATGAAGGAAAACTTGATCAGTGTTGTGAAAGGAGAGCTGGAGGCTCGGCGCAGACACCTGCACAATGTCTCAGGTATTCTCATTATGTAAATGCAGATTTCTTTGTTTCTTTCTGTGTCTCCTACTTAAATGGAGGGTGTGCTCTGAATACAAAGGTAACAAAATACCGCCTGTCTGGGGGGCTCAGCAGCCACCTGTCCTGGCTTGGCCTCTGTTCATGATATGTGTTTTCACCAACCTGGAGCTTAAAGTGTGACAAAAGTAGTGTACTGCTCACATAGTCCCTGTTTTCATGTTACCTTGTTTTCCCAAAAATAAGATCTACCCCGAAAATAAGACCTAGTACTATTTTTGTGAATTGCTAAAATATAAGACCTACCCCGAAAATAAGACCTAGTTGTGACCATTCCCAGGGCAGGTGGTGGCATAAGGGGGAACTTGAAGAGAGGTGGGAGAGAATCAGCGGTGTCAATACAAAATGCACTCCGCCTGTAAGGAATCGATAGTGAAAGCGCGCTTCGCTCATACTGGCCAGTGATTGGTTACCAAATTGCTCTTGGAAAGGTACGACACCCCTGATTGCCCTGATCACCACGTTTTTGTACATGAATACATGTAGACTTTTCTACATGAATAAGTGTGGATTGTTGTACATTAAAAAAAATAAGACCTACCCTGAAAGTAAGACCTAGTGTGTTTTTTTGAGCCAAAAAAAATGTAAGACCGTGTCTTATTTTCGGGGAAACACGGTATGTCAAATTCACTGCAGTGGTACATCAATCTGCAAGGTAGTAAAATTGTTGTAATTTTAACAGTGCAGGAGAACTATATTTTTACATACAGTAACCTAATCCTAACTACCCCTGGTGCCCTTCCCATTCTACCTATACTCACCTGTACCTAAGGAATTAGTGGGGGACCCAGTTCACAATTTCAGGTCTGCAGGGAGACGGCTTTTCAATTAGGGTCTATGGGGAAAAGTTGCACATGTGCAGGACTTGGCTCAGGCTCCAGATAGGACCGGAATTTTGCCTAGTCCATTGTAGATTGTAATTCCTGGTCCCGGTCGCTGATGTGAGATAAGTGCTGAGGATAGTTAGAATGGAGAGGACGAAGGGAGCAGTTAGCATTTGTTTTTATAAATGTATTAGCTGCCCTTTGACAACGTTGTGTTTTAATGTTTCTCTTTTTTGTGCAAAGGAGCAAGGATGTGCATTTTGGGGGCAGCAAAGTGGCTTAGTGGTTAGCACTTCTTCCTGTATCACTCGGGGCCCTTGGTTCAAATCCCAGTCAGAACATTATCTGCAAGGAGTGTGCTTGTTCTCTCTGTGCTTGGGTGGGTTTCCTCCCACACTCCAAAAGACATGCTGGAAGGTTAATCGGCTCCTGTCTAAACTGGCTCTGCATGCATGTGAGATGGGGACCTTAGAGTGTAAGCGCCTTGAGGGAAGGGACTGATGTGGGTGTGCACTATGTAAAGCACTGCTTAAATTGTCAGCACTATTTAAATACCGATAATAATAATTTTGGTCTTTTGTTTTGTAAAAAGGTACTGGCGTAATTGTATGAAAAAGCACATAAACTGAAGCATCAGGCTACAAAAAAATTCCTGTAACATGTTTCTAAATGCTGTGGCACATCCCGGCTCAAGAAAAGTCGATTTTTCAATCAACTCTTGTTGAAGGAGGCCATGTAAATAGTCAGCTGAACAGTGACGGCTTCCAATTCACTTTACGGGTGTGCTGGGAGCAGTGGGTGGCGGTTCTCAGCATACAATAGCCCAACAAGGGAGATTCATCCACCCGTACTGCTTAGCATAGATGGAGAATTCTGTTAAATTTCTTTTTGTCAGGCTGCAGGCTGGATGAAAGAAATCTATGCATATATGGCCTGTATTAAAGCTAACCTATCTCCCTATTCTCTTCCCTTCCTGAAACCTGAGCTGCTATTTAAAGCTGTTTAATACTTTATCAGCAGCAGCATGTTCCCTCCGGCTATCAACACAACTACTGTCATTGTCTCCTGTCCTGGAGTGCAGGCACCCCACTCCCAGCAGGGATTCCCCTACTGTTGTCTGATAAGAGATTATAGGGTGAGATTCCCTGCCTCCTGTACCTTCATTACCCTGATAAGGACTTTCTTTAATTCCTTACTATGTCCTACCCAAAAAGGAAGTAAAATAATTCCATATTAGCAATGGGATTGCAGGGGCTGGGGAACCTTACCCCATAATCTCCTGTACTCTTTGCCAAGCAGTAAATAAATGGAGAATGGGATTCCAATAAATAGCAGACAAGAGAGTTAACAGTCCAGGGGTCTAAGGGATCACGCTATGGCCGTCCTATTTTAGTGTTTATGTTACTCCTATGTATAAGTTTTGGATTAGAGGACATTATGACCTGTTTTTTAAATTCCCACAAAGCCCAGTTATCTCTCACCGGCATGGTCTTTGACCATGTACATCATCTCTTATCAACCTTAGATCAGTCCCAATGATAGCAAAACTTAACTGCCTAAAGCTGGCCATAAAGTATGCGATTTTGAAATAAGAGTAAACTAAACTTGAGATTGTAGTCCATCACAGGAGTGAGCTTGGAGCCCCCCTCCAGAAGGAAGGACAGTGTCAGCACCAATTCAGAGATGATTTGAGGATCACAAATAAGATACAGTATTGTTAATAGTTAAGTTGCTTGAATGTATTTTTAAGATTTAACTCCTGAGTTTAGTGTCACTTTAAGCACTTAAAAACCCAGCCTTTGACATTGACTTAGTAGACATCACACTCTCCATTCTTATGTTATCTTCACATTTTTTGGGGGGGCAGAATACACATTTTTTAAAAACAAATCCTGAGTTTATGCAGTACTCTACATACTGCACTGTTATTACATATTTGAACTGATTAAGTACAGGATTTTTTTAGGGCTGGTAATGATTAAAATTTTCGTGTTCTATTAATCAAAACATTTTTTAATCGATTAATTTCAATTAATTATAACGCACATACAGATCCAACTACATTGGCCTATACACATACAGCACAGCAATAAAGTAATACAATGAACTAGGATCACACTAATCCAGCACGTTATTAATATCACGTGCCCCACTCAATATGGCTGCCGCTTGAGTGGGGCAACTCCGAATAATAACGTGCTGGATTACAAATGTATTTACATAGTATAGTAAAACAGCAAAGCCCTAAGGGTGATTTAAACAAGTATTAGCTTAATATTTGAAGTAGCAGCACCTGTCCATTCCATTTCATGTAAGGACCTAATTGCAACATAATATCAGTAAATTTCAATGGGCACATTTCTGGGAGCCACATAGTGCATATACAGTATATAAGTTTAAGATCAGACAGAATGTTGGTGCTTCTTGGGCAAACTCACCGGCCCAAGTGGCTCCGTCGGCTAACGAAGGGAAGGGGGAGGAGTCCAGTGACGTCATAGACATCAACGTCACCGGACTCCTCCCCCTTTCCCTTCGTTAGCCGACGGAGCCACTTGGGGAAGGGGGGAGGAGTCCGGTGACGTCGATGTTCGTGACGTCACCGGATCTCCGACGGGACTCCCGAAAGCCGGCGGAGAGGTGAGTCTTTTCATTTTCGATCAAAAGAATTTTCATCGATCAAAAAGTTTAACGATTAATCAAGGAATTAATCGATAATTTCCCCAGCTCTAGATTTTTTTCATCTAAGAACAAAATGGGCAGAGCCAATGTGTGACGGTGCTGTGAAGGTGCTTGGAAATTAACGCTCTCTATTCCATATAGATAACAACATGACAGAGAAGACAGTTCTGGTGGAAGATGTAACACAAATGAAGAAGCTGGCAGATGTTTCTACACAAGATCTCACATGTAAAGACGAGGAACACAAGAGCATTCTTCATGAGCTGCACAACACCATTCAGAGTGTGAAGGAGAATGAGAGGGAACTCCGCCTCCTGCAAACACAAGTAAGGACTTCTGTCTCCTTATCACAATGATCCATTCTGTACTAGGGAAGGGCACAACTGGCTCTATGTACTTATTAAAATGATACCAAATTAGAAATTTCATTGAGAAATTGAGCAGAAATGTATGATTGCGCATGATTTCGCTCTATGTAAAATTAGCATTGAAAATGTGGTATCTAGAGTGCAATATGCTAAAATAATATTAATTGTTACTAAACATGCTACAAACTGCACATACGCTGCCAGTAATGGTAAGAGTAGATTTAAGGCCTCATTCACATGGGTAACAGCCGGCCCGTACAGATCGGTGCTGCGTGCACGGCCGTATCAGGCAGCTTCCGGGGAGGACAGGTGCTGCGTGTGATTTGTAAGCAGCAGCCTGTCCTTCTCTATGTGAGTACGCGGTCCTGTCCTTTCCGGGAGCTGCCAGATACGGCTGTGCACACAGCATGGATCTGTACGGGCCGGCCAATACCCGTGTGAATGAGGCCTAAGAGATAAGATGATAGTATCTAATAGTCTGTGTATCACATTGTAGAGTGACACTATGGACCACCACCTTTGCAGAAATTGGAAGGAAAACAAAAATGTATTTTCAACTAAATATTTTTAACTAGGTCATTATCCAAATGACAAAGACCAGCCAAAATTGCAGCAACAGTAGGTAAAGGGGCAGCATGCAGGCTTTCCAAGGCTTTAGCTCCAGTAGAAGCCTATTTTAGAATAACTAAATAGAAAGAGAACTGTCCAAAATGTGTTGTTGGAATTGATGATTATGCCAGGCATCCCTCGCCTGTGCAAGAACAGGGAGGGCTTGGGTCAGAAGTGTGGACTATTCTGCATTTTTTTAGGCTTCCAGCCACTGTCCCGCTATTTTATCAGGAACAGCATGAAAATTCACCTAAGCAATGGCTGCAGTGGCTTTGGGTTTACCAATAAAAAAACATGCAGGTCTTTTCTAAAAGTAACCCCATTTGGTGAGAAAAGTGCCTGCCTGGAAATTATGGCAGTGTGTTGTGCAAAAACGTAACACCACCGGTCTAGTCTAGGCATGGTTATGTGCAGAGTGTGGAATATTTACGTTTAGTTAGCACTAATGAAATCTTCACATAACAAAGAATTGTATCGTATGTTGAGAATTAAGAAGCCATTTATATGAGAAAAAAAACCTGTGAAATATTTTTTATTAACAGGTTTCAAAATTGTAACCATCAGTAAGGTGCAATATTCACTGCATTTATTATTTATAATACAGAGAATGTCGTGCTCCACAGTAACTGGTTTTCTGCAGTTAATATGGGGCCTGCACTGACCATAGATCATTTCCAGATAGATTTATCATATAAATATTATAACAAATATGTTGTTAGTGTCAGGGATGTCACAGAGATTCCATGTAAAAAAGCACTTCAGATTTGCCCATTTGTCCATGGCCAGGGTCACTCCTATGAAGCTGAGATGTATGAAAGGAGGAACCTTTGCTCCAGCATTAGGTATCCTTGCTGGAGCCTGAAGGGGAGGTCTGTCAGGACACAGTTTAGACATTACTGAAAACTCCTAAATTAAATATTTTTAAAGTAGCATTTGTGTGTTTTTTTTCTAGGGATGCAATGATACTAGTATCGATATCATGCCTATACTGAGTATTTGGGTGAGTGCTCGTACTCGCCCAATGCTTCGATACTTAACTCCGATACCAGAACTTCCGTTCATAGGGAGATCTCTCACTGCATGGAGCCAGCTTCCTTTCCAATTAGCAAGCCAGGCGGTGGGTTATGACTAGAGATGCACCGAAATGGAAATTACGAAACCAAAATGTAAAAAATTGTCAGGCCGAAACCGAAACTAAAAATGTTTTTATTTTATTTTTTTCTAATTCTTTTTAATATTTATTTTCATTCATTTTTTATTAAATATTTGTATTTTTTACTTTTAGGGGCTTCGGGGCAATATTAGGGGTCTAAACAGACCCCTGATATTTCCCTTTTTAAAATAGAAAAAGAGATTGAGGACACAGAGTCCTCAGTTTCTTTTTCTGCAGCCCCTGTTATCAATGAACAGGAATCCTCTATACTGAGTGTTCCTGTCCATTCATAACATGAGGACATTGTGTGTTTACTATAACTACAACTATGAATGAACAGGAGGTGATGTAGATCACTTCCCATTCATTCATAATTGAGGATATAGTAAACATACCATGTCCTCAATTATTTACAAACACTCAGTGATCACTGATCGCTGAGTGTTTGCATTGGCTCTCCTCTCTGACACGTTGTCACAGGAGGCTGAGCGAGCGGAGCAGGGAGGAGAGCTCAGCCTCCTGTGACAACGCTGGCTGTCTCCGCCCCCACACCGCCCTGCCGGACTGTGATAGGAGGCTGAGCGGTGTGGGAGGAGAGATTCCGGCCACTCACATCACTCTCCTCCCGCAGTGCTTGGCCCGGCTGTCACACTTTCTCTCTTCCCCGCTGGGACACAGAGCAGCGCCCAGCGGGGAGGAAAGAAAGCAGGGATGCCCCGATGTATCGGCACAAAAATTGCATTTTCGGCATTCAGCCAAAAGTGCCATTTTCGGCCGATTATATCGGTGCATCCCTATTTATGACCCACCTTCCGGCTTCCTGATAGGCTAGGAAGCTGGCTTAACTTGTTGCTAGGCAGCCTGGCTAACCAATCAGGAAGCCGGGCGGCACGTAATGAACTGCCTCCCGGCTTCCTGATTGGTCAGGAAGCCAGGCTGCCTAGGAACAAGTGAAGCCGGCTTCCTAGCCAATCAGGAAGCTGGGAGGTGGGTCATGGCATGCCGCCCAGCTTCCTGATTGGCTAGGAAGCCAGCTTAACTTCTTGCTAGACAGTCTGGCTTCCTGCCCAATCAGAAAGCCAGGCGGCACCTCATGACCTTATTGGTCAGAAAGCCAGGCAGCCTCAGCAAGTGAAGCCTGTGTTCTTTCAATAGAACACCGGCTTCCCAGGCAATCAGGAAGCCGGCGACGGGTCATGATCAGCCGCCCGACTTCCTGATAATCTGGGCACGTGGCACTCGGTATTGGCGAGTACCGAAAAAAAAATATTGATACTCGATACCGGAAAACCGGCATCAGTGCATCCCTAGTTTTTTTCAGTTCTTTCTATACTTGCATATACTGGTGAAAGAGTAGGGGTCTTAGCTAGTTCAGCAAGGATGAGATGACAACCTACTTGCTCCATGAGTGCAGGTTAGGTTGCACATAAAACCTCCCTATGCCACCACAGAGTGTACAAAAAAGCCTGGTACCCATTAGCAACAGGCACTAATGGGAGAGGTGCTCCCACCTTTTTTTGAAGGGTGCTCTCAGAACACCTTCCCTTTCTTAGTGTTGAAGTACAAGCAGGCTTGGGTCAGTATAGCAAAGGGTCTTATGCCTTCTCTTATGCCTTCTTTTCCCTTTCCATGAGGATACAAGTCTGCTGGGCTAGTAGTGTGCGAAGGGACTTTGAGGGCATATTTTTTGTAATTGTTGCATTTTCATTGTAAAAAACATTGATTTGCTACCAGAGGTGAAGCTAGACATTTCGTCGCCCAAGCAATTCCAGAACTGCAAAATGGACACTTTGGGTATGCTTGTTGGTCAGCTCTGCAATTCAATAACTAATTCAAAGATATGTATATTCTGTGCCTAATTGTGCTTTTACCCTCATACGTTTATAATAAAGCTTGAACTTCCAAGTAAGTTGAAGAAATTAAATAGTACATCGGTCTTGACAGCTTCACGTAAATTTGCATTGTTTCATGTTTTAGCTTCAGGAACAGACAAAACAACATGAAACTGTGGAAGCGCAACTGGCAGAGAAGAGGTCCGAATGTTTGTCAGTACAAGCTATGATACTTCAGCTTGAAGAGCAGTATGTAGCTACAGCTCAGTCTGTTCAGGAGCGCATTGTGTTCCAGCTGCGGTATGTTCTATGAAAATGAAATTGCATTGTGACTCTTAAAGTTAAAGTGACATTAAACCCTCGGATTTTTTAACATAAAACAATAGTGTAATGTGTGCCTTACTGTAATCCATGGTTGTTTCCCTTCTCTTTGCTGCTCTTCCTTTTAAATTTGTATCTGTTCTCATGCTGGGCAGGACTTCTGTTTTGCAGCAGACTGCCTTGTCTCAGGAATGGATACACGGTGTCTGTGTATCCGTTTGTATAGGCTTGAAACCTGAGCCAGCACTACAGGAAGAGGCCCTGAGCTGAAAAGGGAAGTTCTACCCCAGCATGAGAAGACATGACAATTTAAAAGGAAGAGCAGCAAAGAGAAGGGAAACAACCATGGATTACAGTAAGGCACACATTACAGTATTGTTTTATGTTAAAAAATCTGAGGGTTTAATGTCACTTTAAGCACTCAGGATAAAAATATGGGAGCTACCTTTACTAATTTGTTATAGGTGCCAGTTCCATGTCTGTCTACCTTTATCATTACTTAAGGAGCCAATGACCCAAAACAAGTATACAGGTCAGGAGTTCTTAGGTTGTCAAGCAAGCATAAGAATAACAGCTTGTGAAATTTTGGTTGTGGCAGCCTCTACATTTCAGATATTTTCTCTGTAAACGTTACCATTCACTATTACAACCTTCCACTCAAAACAACATATAAAGACAACATGTAAAGACACATAATGTAAGGCAGAAAGCGGCAGGATGTAGCCCAGGCTGTTACTGTTCTTGGTCCATAATTGGCAGCCCCCACGCATTATTATGTGGTGGCAGTGATCATGGGAAGACTCCCACACTCAGGAATGTGTGGAGGCTCCAGAACTGGCTAAGAAAGCATGATGTTGCAAGCCCAGCATAATTATGTCATACATTCTGGTTTGGGAAACAGAAGAATCACTTCTGGGTCTTTAAACTAGCTTTAAGCTACACATCTGTAGCCGAGAAGTACTGCACTAATGTACTGCACTGTGTTTTTCTTGTTAGCAAAGAAGCAGAAAAATTACGAACTCAGCTGAAAGAAAAGCAGCTGGCAGCTGATGAAGATAAATATTTGAGGAACAAACTGGCAGAAGACAGTGGACGTCTAACCAAAGAAAATGCCCACTTGCTAGCCCGGGTATTGGAAACCACTAAGCAACTTGAAGAGGTAGGTAGCTAAACATGGCTACAGAAATTAAACAGATCTGTCTGTACACATTGAGAGGGGGGATGGGACACGGCTCACTATGTGTGTAAGTTGAAGCTTGAGCTACTGAGTTGTGTTAAAAACTGACTTATTTCAGCAAAGTAGATAAAGATAGCCTGGAAAATATGTGAAAAGGTGCCTAGAGCTCCGTCTGCTGACTGGAAATAAGACAATAACATAGTAGTATGCAATGTTTTCTTTATATTTGCTTGACTAATAAACAATATATATAATAATAATACATAAATATTTTTTATAGTCTTCATCAAAAGTTGAAGAAAATTAGTTGCAAACCCACTTTATGTTCCCTTTAAAGTAGTGGTTCTTGCAATGAGCCTTTCATTTACTTCCTCACTGCCCTGTTCACCCACCAGAGCAAAGTAAAGCAGTCTTGTGCACTAAGCTGCAAGTAGGTTTGGAAATATCAGATATTCTGCTATGGCTGGCAAATGGCAAGGAGAGTGAATGGAATATATTATCTCCCCTATGGTGACCACAGCACTCACACAGTCATTTTCTTCTTTCTCCATTGACGTCTGCTCTCAAGGAGAGTTTCCAACAGTTTCAAAGTCTCTGTGTGTGGTAACTAGCTAAGACTGGCTGAGAAACTTGTTTTCTTTCTCGTTCATTAAGGGACAGGGACAGTTATTCAGATATAATTGGTTATGCTGCGGGCCCAGGACCGGCATGGCGGTGGCGGCTGAAAGATGGGAGTGACGCCAGTAAACATTACTGACCAATGTCCTGTGAATGAAACCGGAAACAATGATGATTTTGTCAGTTCTGGTTTCTGACCTGTCATTCCCCAGCCACAGAAGCCAGGAAAGGTGCGGATCAAGCACCATCTGCTTGATTCTAGGGCCATTATTCACAGTTAACTCTATAGGTACTGTAGTTTTTTGCATTTAACGGACACACACAATTCTAAAGCGTGGCATGTTTAGTATCCTTTTACTCTACAAAAACAGCCATGGCACAAAAAGGGTCAATGAACGAGAAAGCAAATAGAATATTTGTTCTTACCATAATATCTGTTTCTTAGAGTTCAGTAAGGGACGCAGGTCTACTCCTAATACTGCTTTTCTACAAAACTGAAGCATGCTGGGAATGGGAGGTGTTATACCTGGCTGGTCAACAGCTTTTTTGTTTGCCAGTGTCCAATTGCTTCGGTAGGCATCAGTATAACCAACTGTTTTTAAATCACTGAATTCTGTATCTCTAATAAACTCAAGGAATCAGATTTTACAGTAAGTAGAAAAATCATGTTATTCAAACGATGCTCAACATGGGGGAGTGTAGTTAGAAATCACCATAGTAGAGCATGTACTTGAAACAACACCTACGTATATAAACAATGAATCTTGCTGCTTAATGCCACAGGGCATTAAACATTTTATGACCCTTCGTGCCGTGCCCCTTTCATTTGTTGGCTCACTTTCTCACGCCCTTGGTTTATTTATCTTGTCTTGGGTGTCTCCACTAATCAGAACAGATTAGCTATTTTAGTGCAAATTAACTCCACCCAGAGACTGTCCAGCACACTGCTTGTTACAAATACAAGTTCCTTCTCTTTGCATAACCAACGTATACAGTGTACAGTGTGTCCAGTGATCAATTTGCAGCCTTTTCACAGATTGCTGGGTGGCAGTAAAGAGATATTGTACTAAAAAACAAAATTAGGTTACAAAGACAGTATGTTGTGGCAATTTGTGGTGAACAGAATTGCATAACTAATTCAACAGTGTTTCTCAGCTTGTCCTGAAATACCTCCAACATGTCATGTTTGTAGGACTTCCCTAGTGTTAATTACAGGTGATTAAATGGTGTCTATAGACTTTGGAGCGTTGTCAGACGTGCATTCATAATCCAACTGTTCTCAGGCACCACCATCACCTGGTGGGGGGCCCACCGTTACTTTGTCAGTGGAGAGGGGAGGGTGAAGGAGATAAGAGGTGCTGGCAGATGCTGTCTGCATAACTTCTGTCAGTGGGGAACAATAGCGATTGCAAACAGGTTTGCTAACCTGTTTAATCAACTGTTCCCCTAAATAGTGACTAGCTGGTATAGCTGGGGGCTTTATTGCTGAGCTGCAGACAGACATAACAAAATGCTCTCCAGACCTGTGGATAATCTTTAGTTTGAAAATGTGTTTAACAAGCAGTAGGTATCTCTTTGCTAAAATAAAATCATACATGTAAAAAATACACATGTGACAGAGGTAGATAATATGCAATCGGTACTTGTAAGTTCAAGAAATGGATATTCTCTATCAATTATCGGCAGCTAGATAAATAATTATCCACCAAATAAAGAATAGAGTTTTACACATCAATTTTTAATTTTGTCTTGTTTTTTAAGAGCAATTGGTAATCGCCTGTTTCCTCAAACTGATGTCTTATGTCTATAAACTGTTTCAAGCTAGGAACATTCTTGAAAACATATCTTGCTGCAAGTAATTGGTTATAAAATAATTACAGCCTAATGTTAGCTAGAGATGTCAGAGAGATGTTGGATATACAGAGAAAATCTGTACATTCCTGTGAAAGATTTTTCTCAGATTCCCCCAGTGTACATGTTTATGGAGGATCAGGGGGAGCAAGAGGACATTCCTGGTACTGGCTTATCTAGGGAAAAACAAAAGCAGTTGGTTAATAGAATCCAACACGGACCATTGATTCCTCCCCTTCTCCTAGCCAGGGGGTGTCTGTATATGTTCCATAGTGTAAATGATGACAACATGGTCAACTGGCACTTTGCAATAGGTGGGTGAATTGACATTTCAAAAACATTCAGTAGCCCCTCTTCTGATACTTATGGGTTTCCCTTTACACAAGGCAAGTAGGGCCACAGATTAGCCTGTTTTATGATAACTGGGCTGTGTAAGATGGACAATCTTACGAGCATTAACTTGTGAACGTCTGCAGTTCTTCTAATTTGAGATGATGAGTAATGCACCCGTTTTTTTTTTTCAATTGATTTTTTACCACCAAAGGCATGTGCGTTTCAGGTTACTCTGGTACTATCTCTTTCTTTTCATGTTATCTCATCCAGCACATCTTGTAGCAGCAAAGGAGAAAAAACATCAAAAGCAGAAAGGCAATCTCCCTTGTCTACAGGACTGTGTCGGTTCCTATCAGCACGCAGGCTGGAATAACACGATGACATTCCATTGCTGAAAGTCAAACACCCACATTTTCATACATTTTCACACTTCCTTAAACACAAACATCAATTTCAGCATTGTCATATACCTGAGACTGGAAACATCATCCTGCAGTTTATGCTGTTAGTCTTCTGCTCCATACACGGGCACAATCATTCTCTTAAAGGTGGGAATACTCAGTAATAGCTCTATGGCTGATAGTGACAGGATGGCTTCTTCATCCTCTGCCATCACTCCTGACACGGGAATGAACACACGTGTTGAAATATGCACAAAGCAAACCTGTAATAGGGCCATCGATTATAGGTGGTAAGTGGGTCCAACAAAATTCTAGAGAAACCCATGTAATGATTCAAATTTTAAATCCTGTCTATTATAATTTTATATTGTATCGCCTCAAAGCCACCCTTTCAGGCCCAAAACAATTAGCACTAATGTCTCCCTGCAGAGGAAGGTTGTAAGTACTCATTTCTCCTGTTGTCCATGCTGCACCAATCAAAAGGAATCTTTCTGTGAAGTCTGCCAAGAAATCAAAACTTCCAGGAGAGTTAATCTCCTGCCCCCTCCCCCAGTACTGAGTGGTTCCTCCCACCGACCTCCACATCACTACAGTGTCCACCTAGGGACATTGGCTTGGTGGGAAGAACCACTGAGCACTGCTGGGGTCACAGAATATCCACACTCCTCAAAGTGTCGATTTCCGAACAGACTTCATGGGAAGATTTTGGCAGTGCAGGCAGATGAACTGGTAAGTATTTACATTCTTCTTCTGCATGGAGACCTAAGTGGAGATTGTTTTTGACCTAACATGGTTGCTTTAAAACAAACAAATGATATAAGGTATTGAAATCTGAAAATTCTAAAACTGGGGATAGATTTATATACTGCTCTGTACTGTTTCCTTCTTACTCCAGTTGACTAGCTAGCCTTTAGCTGGGTAAACACTGTTACATTTTTTTTCTTTTTTTTCAGCTTTTGGCTTGAACGGAAAAAATCTTAACAGGTTCCTCCATGCACACTAAACATCATGTATGGAGGAATCTCCCTTGCAGCTATTGTATTTCTTACAGCTATTATATTTGGGAGTCGACCATGCTGGCTTTCAAAATACCTGACTGGATGCCTTCATCTGATTGGATGCAGGCGTTTTTTGGTCGACAATTTTCTGCCTGGCTTTTTAAAAAAAATTTCCGTCGAAGGATGTCGAGCAAGAGTTGGCAGGCAGGGCCACCCACTGAGTGGATATTGGCCAGATTCTTAACAAGGAAATGTGCTTATTGTATAGCCAGCTTTAGTATCACTCTAACAAAACCCAAACTTCTAGCTACACAAAGCATTCCAAGGATGATGTGTGTATAGACTAAACCTGGCCATACACCAGTAGAATGTTGTTTTAGGAATGTTCTTTCGATTTTCTATTAGTTAATATGCTCAAATCACCAATCATTTTCAATCATGACAACAACAAAAAAATCAAAGGAGCCGGATGAAAACTTTTACTCAAAATAGCGACATTTTAATAGTGAATGTGGGGTTCCTCCAGGAAACTCCATTCATTTCCAAAAAGAACCAAAGGAAATTTTGAATGACTTTCATCAAGTCTCCGATGGCATTATCGAATGTACTGACGAGATATTAATAATGAACATTCATCAACAAAAGCTTTTAATTCATGTTATTTACCTGTAAAGGCCTCCCTTGTGTAGACATCTAAAAGTGAGACTCAAGTGACATTCCATAGTATTCCCCTTTGCACCTCCCTTGGCAGCTATATAAAAGGTTATATAGGGAGTTGAGGGGAGGGATGGAGGAGCTAGGCCAGCGCAAACAGTAATTAGACACTCCCAGAAGAGGAGAGGTCTATTATGTGCACAGAGGTAGGGGGTGGGGGGCTGTGCTAGGAAATAGACTCTGATGGAGGAGAAACATTTGTAGCTTGTTCAAAAGCACATTGCAAGTGAATAAAAAAATTATTTAAATATGAATTTATTTTCATTTATGGAAAGAAAAAAGTGCAATTAAGCATTTAAAATACTTGATTTTTTTTGTGCTTTTACTTACATTTTGGTAACAGTAAAACAAACTTGCAAAGTTGGTAACAGGGTCTCTTCAAAGAAGAACTCTGGGCAAAATTTAATTAGCCCTTGCAGTGGGGCCCCCACCACACTGCAAGGGTTAACTGCTCGTTTTCGTCTAGGGAGGGAAATAACACAGTTATAGTCACCCTATCCTCCAAGCTGTCTTGCTCTTAGACAATTCCTTCCAGCCTCACTCCCCCTCCACTGTAGAGGTCTAGGCTCCCATAAATCATCACGTTCTATACACCGTGTATAGGACGTGAGAACGCCGACATATCATCGCTGAAGTATAGAAGGAAATAGGCAGGAGGGAGCACTGTGACAGCAGGTCAGCCTCAAGGTTCGGGTGACTATAACTTTGTTATTTTTTTTTCCTAGACAAAAATTAGTCGTCTTGAGAAGTTAACCCTTGCAATGCAGGGGTAGCCCCACTGCGGGGGTTAAGAAAACTTTTGCCCTGAGTTCTTCTTTATGTGAAGGTTTGATATTTTATTATGAGCTGCACCGAAATTCACCCCATTTTTCCTACATTTCCCCACCTTGTGGCAGGAAGCCCAAAAAGTGTGCCATGTGCTTCCTTGTTAGTCTTTTTATAACAAGATATGGTGTTATTGTATAATATTCAGAGACTGCAGAGGTAAGAGTATGACACCATCATAATGGCCTTAATGGGAAGACAGGACCAGGAACAATGACAAAGTGGTTCAATGACGAAGAGTACGACACCATCATAATGGCCTTGATGGGAAGACAGGGTCAGGAACAATGACAGAATTATCTAACCACCAACCCCCAACATATACAGGAATTTAGTTCCTGATTCTACTTCTTAGCTTCTACCCAAATTTGAAAAATTAGTTTTGGTTGCACTTGGCAAATGTGTTTCTAGAGACTTCATTCACACACCTCTATCTTTTACACCTAGTATGTCTGTTGTATTATGTCAGGTATTTGGATACACTACGGGATTTTATCTTGTATTCCTCTAGGAACGGCAGCTGAGAGAAAATGAAAGTTTGAACCTTACAAGAAGGATCTCTGAGCTGGTATCAGGGAAGGAGAATGAGAGACAACTAGAGCTAAAACTATCACACTGGAGAAGACTGGTACAGGATGAGAAGGAGAAAGTTTCTGCAGCACAGGAACAGGTAAAACGTTCACAATGTTTAATGTTGTGACAAATGATAGTTTTGTTTTATGGGATCTATCAGGAATTTTGCAGATTTAGGGCCCATTCACATCACATCCATATCATCGCCAGACCAGACCAGATTGTTTCTGGAGCCAAAATGCATCCTAATGTATCCCTATGCTATTTATGGGCTCTGTTCACACAAGCACAGTCCATTCCAGACCAGACCAGAAAAATACAGCACGTCTCATTTTGTCTGGTCTGGAATGCACTGGAAGGCATGGAAATGCATAAAACAATGCATGCAAACAAAGTGGACCGCACCTGAAAGCCCATTTTAAGCTAAAAAAAAACCCAGCTCCGGAATGCGACAAAATCGCTGTAAAAACGCGGGCAAAATGTAATGCACCTCGTTCCAAATCTGGTCCTGATCTGGCCTGGAAAATGGTGTGAACCTGAGACCAGCACCTGCTCAGCAAACTGGGGGATCTGAAATACTACTTATTACATGAACCCAGGATATATTACTTGCAATTCTTTCATGACAAATCTGATATACGAAGGAAAAATCATTATGGCAGACACCATCTTTTTGCTAGTTGCCTTGATTGGCTTGTCAATTCTCCTCAACATGCCTTTTTGTGACATTGCAAGACTTGCTGTTAACCTGCTCGGTTGTCTGTTGTTAAACTACTGAATCTCTCCCATTCTCCACATCTACACAGAATAGGGACTAATATTTCCATACTGCAAAATAAGAATTGGAAGGACTCCTTTGCAATTAAGGAACAGATATAACAAAATGGTTTCAATGTAAAATGTAACAAACTTAGGGCTATTCACACCAGAGTGTTGAATGGACTACTTTTTTCCACCACAATGCTCCGCATTGTGGCACCACAAATTGCGCTCTGCTGCAACACATGGCAGGGGGTATATGGGGTGGCAGTCAAATCAAAGCCAGCACTACGTACTTAGTGCACAGTACTGCACACCAGTATGCTGTGCAATAGCGTGTGCTAAACAAACAGTAACGTGCGCTGTGAATGGGCCCTAAAAGGGAGCAAATAAGAGATGCTCATTGTTAGGGTTTTAAAGTATCGCATATGAAGGGTTATCATTTAAAAAAATATGTAGGGCTACGGGCAGTATGATTTGGATACAAATGTATTTAGATAGTGTAGGTAGGTCCTTCTATTACGTAGCTTTGTTTAATCTAAAGGAGATTGTACAAAGATTGTGTATGAGTTCTAATAGTGCCCAGAGTAATGTCAAATGTGTAGTGACTCATAACAGCAAATCAGAAGTCATGTTCTATTGGCATGACCAATTTTATTATTATTATACAGGATTTATATAGCGCCAACAGTTTGCGCAGCGCTTTACAATATAAGGAAGACATTACAATCACAATACAATTCAAGACCAGACAGTTAGGAGGGCCCTGCCCCTGAGAGCTTACAATCTAAAAGGGAGGGGCAAGTGATACATGAGGAGGTAGCTGTGTGGGAATGAATTGTTTGAGAACGTGATGGTTGAGTGGTTAGTTTGAGGTGGGATAGGCTTCCCTCAAGAGGATCTGCTAAAGGCAGTCAGAGTGGGAGATAGACTGACCGGTTGGGGTAAAGAGTTCCAGAGGATGGGAGAGACTCTACAGTAAAGAAGTCCTGGAGGCAAGCATAGGAGCAGTTCATGAGGGAGCTGGAAAGCAGAAGGTCTTTTGAAGAGCGGAGGGGACGGTTAGGGTGATATTTTGAGACCAGGTTTGAGATATAGCCGGGGGCGGAGTTGTGGATGGCTTTGTAAGTGGTTGTTAATATTTAGAATGTTATCCTTTGGGCTATTGGAAGCCAGTGTAGGGATCGGCAGAGGGGGTTGCAGACACTGAGCAGTTGGTCAGGTGAATGAGTCTGGCAGCTGCATTCATGATAGACTGAAGGGGGGATAGCCTGTGTAGTGGAAGGCCAATGAGGAGGGAGTTGCAGTAGTCAAGACGAGTGGATTAGTAGTTTTGCGGTTTCTTTGGTGAGGAAGGGGCGTATTTTGGAGATGTTACGAAGGTGAAGGCGGCAGGATTTGGATAGTGATTGGATGTGGGGAAGAAAGGTGAGGTCCGAGTCAAGGATGACACCGAGCACCTTGGCATGGGGGGAGGGCTGGATAGTTGTCAATCTCAAGGGAAAAGTTGGGGGGAGGTGCACAGGCAGGAGGAAATATCATGAGCTCGGTTTTTGAAAGTGTTGTAACTGTTAAGAAGTGTTGTATTGTTATTATACAGGATTTATATGGCACCAACAGCTTGTGCTGTGCTTTACAACAAATGGGGAGACAGTACAATTACAATACAATACAAAATGATTAGAAGGACCCTGCTCATGAGATCTTACAACTGAAATCCTATTGGTTGCCATGGGTTACTGCACAGCATCTTTGTTCTTAATGATATTTGAAAAACAAATGACTGTTAACAGGTGCTGCAGCTACAACAAGGCAGGAAGTCTGCGAAGTTGGCTGGAAGTTCACTGAACAAGCAACTGACAGATTTACAGAGTAAACACTCCGGGCTTCAGCAGGAAAACTCCCTCTTGCGTGTAGAGAAGAACCATTTGGTGGAGCACATCTCTCAGTTACATAAACAGGTAATGTTGCCGCACCACACTGAACTCTTCTTCCTGGCTGGGAAAAGGGAGGAAAGTAAAGCTTAGTGTGTATGACCAGTCAGGATAGGCTACCAGGACAAATGTGAGGTCAACAGGAACACTGGAATGTTGTTTATATCACTCCCTGTGTCAAGAGAATGGAAGGCTGTGTGCGTTTCACACAAATCAAAGTGTATTATAGAATCCATCCTATTTATTTTTGGAATAATAAGAATAGGTTGCAGCCTGGGCACCTATAAGGGGAACAAGCAGAAACTCATGGATGAGACAAGGGCTGCATTGTGTTTAATTGTAGAGGGGGGCTATTATATTTGGTTAATGAGTCTCTCAGTTATTGTATTAGGATTAGAACCATAACATAAACTATGTGGCTTATATTCATGTAGATTTAGCATTGGACATAAAGGATTTCTGCCTTCCAGTGAGATACCGAGATACTGTATTTAAAGGAGAAGTATTGGGAGAGTAAAATATACTGTTCCTAATTCTTAGAGCTGGCGTGGGACGCTGCAGCTTTCACACACCGGCTTTTTAGATCGAGAGCTGATCGATCGCGTGACCACTGATTACTCAGCTCATGGTCTTCTCCTTGCAGAGAGTAGTGACTGTCAGTCACCGCTCCCCGCAAGGATTCCGCCCCCTCCCCTTTATTTGTTCCCTTAGCGTTCATTGGAGGGACTGATAGGGAAGGGGGCGGGCAAAGCTGGCCCTGGCTCTAGAGAGGCATAGCCAGCTGTCAATCAGACAGCTAGGTGGATCCTGACAGTATTGCTCCTTGCTGTCAGCATATATTGGGCAGTAGCTATATGCTGACTTTGTATCACAGAATTAAGTTAGTATTTGTATTTCTGTGACTTATAAAAGAAGCAAGGCTAAAAAAATAAAAGGTTTGGCTTACTTCTCTTTTAAGGGCCTGTTCACCTTACACATGCATAGTGACTTGTGTTTTTGATGTGTGTACCTGTATTATTTAGTCCTGTTTTTTATTTTCTAGCCAGTACTTCTCATTGCCTGCTTATCAGGTTGGCATGATTACATTAGTAAGTCTAATATGAACACATGGTCATGTTACCGTAATGCATAGACATGGCAACAAGCGTAGTCAACCCTGGCATTCCAGCTATTGTGCCCCATGAGGCATTTTAAAACTGACAGCCACAAGCATGACTACCAGAAGCAGAAGGATGATGGGCTTTGTAGTTTCATCACAGCTCCTTAAACATTTGCTGTCCGTAGCAATTTTTTGATATTTGCACACACATGATAAAATCTGAATTTGTGGCTAGAAAACAGCTTCAGACCCCCAAACAATGATATATTTTCTGAAAGCAGAGGCCTTTGTGAAGTAAAAAAAATGCTAGTTGCAATGTTTTATATCGCACGGTATTTGCGCAAATGTTTAACCAATATTTTTAGGATAAAATACACAAAAATGAAATTTAGTGCACAGAAACAGAATATAATACCCAATTTTATGGTAAAATATCCAAAATATGTCAAGCCTTAAAATTGCGTGCATCCGTGAAACTGCAAAAAACTACAATACCCTAAATTCCCGATAGGTGACACTTTAAAAGCTTTTACTGCTCATCAGTTTAGTGCTAAGAGTGATGAATAGCTCTAGCATTATTGCTCTCACTCTGACAATTGCAGGGATATGTAACATGTGTGGTGCAATTTTCAGTTTTGCACGTAGGCGCATACGACGCATGTTTAAGTTTGTATGTGTATGTACGTGGGGCTGAGGGACTTGAAATAAAAAAATGTTTGAATTTTTAAAAATATATTACTTAAATTTTTTTTACACTTAACTTTATTGCTATAACATAGGGTGCTAATAATCCCGTTATGTAATAGCAATTAGGATTTGCCTAGGGACCCCAAAGACCCCAAAGAAGCTGATAAAGTAGAGAGTCGGTGAATGTACACAGTGACACGGGAAGTGATGTAATTCACATCACTTCCGGGTCCAGTGATCAGAGAAGAGATCAGCGGCTAGAAGCTTGCTGATCTCTTTCCGATCTGTCAGGTCCCGGGCCCGCACAGGGAACAGCGAAGCCCAGGAAATCGGGGGGGGGGGCAAGCATTCTGCCGCACGGTACAAGCTACAACCGCCGGAACACTTGTATATAGACAGCAATCGCCCGCTCAGGACAGGATGTATTTTGATGGTGGACGGTCCTGAAGCGGTTAAAAAAAAAAATCCCTAAAATGCCATTATGTTCTGTGTATAGCGCATGATCTCAGAGTAGATCTAATGATCTCTGCATTTATTGTTCCTAATACTGGCTTTGCAGAAGCTAATTTCAGGTTACAGAAGTCGTTGCAGAGCCTCAGGGTCCAGCCAAACAGAGCACAAAAAGCTTGTGGTCTGTAAACCTGAATTTCTTGTTTCCCCTCCATCTTATTCATGGCAGCTGCAGTACAATGAAAAGGGGGTGTAGGCTACCACCAGGTTATAGGCCCCTGTCTGTCTTCTGGGGGGTTGGCTGCCACCAGGCATTAGGCTTTTGTCTGTCTTTTGTCTACTTGTTGCATTTCTCTTATCTCCACTATTTGAAGTCACTGCATTGCAATCACTTGCACATAGTATGTAACATTTCTGGGAAGAGTTGAATGTTTTTTTATACTCCTTGTTCTCCTGCCAGGATATATAGTGCACCTTTAGGGTAAATTAAGGATTCTAAGTATCTGCTTTGTTCCAGACATATGACTGTTAGCAGAAAGCCTTGAAGCTTTGTCATTGCTGTTATTCTCCCTGCTTTGTTATTAGGGGACTCTGTTTCATTTTACATTTGAGGAAGCCGCAATAAAGCACTTTATATTCACTAATCAAATTCTGTGTGTGAACAGTGTTTTTTCGACAAGCACCCCTCTGAGGCTGCTCATGGCGCTAACATTTCCTGAGAGATACATGGAGGCTGCCATTGCTGACTTCTCATTCTGCACATGCTGCTTGCCTGATTATCACGCTGGTTCCAGGTTAATTACTTACAAGGTATTGAAGCCAGAGGGTTGGCATAACAGGCAGGCAACGTGTATTTTTGGAAGGAGATCAGCAATTGTTTCTCCATGTTTCTGTCAGGGAAGGTTTACTTTACAATAGAACTTGTCTCTTTGCACATTTAAAGCTTAGTGGCAGCACAGTGGTTTGGTGGTTAGCACTCTTACCTTGCAGCACCGAGGGTCCCTAGTAGGGATGTACAGATACGTTTCCAGCTCCAAGACTGGTCTAGAGAAAAATTCAAAAGTTAGAAAGCAGCTGTCTTTTTTTTTAAGAAGCATACGGAGCTCCTGGGATTTGTGCATCTCTGTTTGTACTGATACAAGTACTCACAGATACAAGGAATGAAACATTTTTTCTAAAACAATACAGACTAGGGATGCACCGATATATCGGCCGCCAAAACATATTGGCCGAAAATGGCACTTTTGGCTAAATGCCGAAAGTGCCATTTTCTTGCCGATATAGAGGTGCATCCTGTTCTCTCCTCCCCGCAGGGCGCTGCTCTGTGTCCCAGCGGGGAGGAGAGAAACTGTCACAGGCTGCTGAGCGCTGCCGGAGAAGAGCGCTGTGAGCGGCTGGAGTCACTCCTCCCACACCGCTCAGCCTCCTGTCACAGATCGGCAGAGCAGTGTGGGGGCAGAGACAGGCCGCACTGTCACAGCAGGCTGAGCTCCGCTCGCTCACTGACACACTGAGCGAGTGTTTGTAGATAATTGAGGACATGGTATGTTTACTGTGTCCCCAATTATGAATGAATGGAAAGTGATCTACATCACCTCCTGTTCATTCATAGTTGTGGTTATAGTAAACATACTCTGTCCTCATGTTATCAATGATCAGGAACACTCAGTATAGAGGTTTCCTGTTCATTTATAACAGGGGATACAGAAAAACAGATTGAGGACTCTGTGTCCTCAATCTCTTTTTCTATTTTAAAAGGGAAATATCAGGGGTCTGTTTAGACCCCCAATATTTCCCCAAGGCCCCTAAAAGTAAAGTAACAAAAAAAATATTTCATAAAAATAAATAAATTAAAATATATTAAAAAATTACAATAAAGTTAAAATAGAAAACATTTTCGGTTTCGGTCTGACATTTTTTTTCATTTTGGTTTCGTTTCGGTTTTGACATTTTCATTTCGGTGCACCTCTAATACAGACTAATGATTTCAGGACAGTGGTGGAGCACCAGAGCCAGGTCCCAGCTGCAACCTCTGCAACCCTGGTAATTCTCAGGAAAATGTCAAGTATCGGCACTGCTATCTGAACATCCCTAGTTCAAATTCCAATCAGAACATTCTCAGCATGAAGTTTGCATGTACTTCCGGTGCTTGTGTTGATTTCCTCCTACAATCCAAAGACATGCTGGTAGATTAATTGACTCATGTCTAAATCCGCCCTAGAATGTGAATATATGCATATGAGCTAGGGACAGGGCCATCCCTTTAATAAGGCAGCCTGAGGCTGTTGGCAGCATCTCTTTCGGCATGTGGGAGAGTGGCATGGCTGCTCTTCTGCACAATGTTTGCAGTGTGCCTGCTGCCTGCTTTCTGGCCAGAGCATCCAAGGTTGCTAAGACCAAGGTGGGGAGATATATAAGGGCCATACACCTCTCCCTGCTCTTAGCAACCTTGGACGCTCTTGCCATCTTCCCACCGAGCTCCTGGCAGCCAATGGCGTTCCTGGGGCTCCGCGGAACGCCAGCCAGCTCTTGCACATCTCCACGCCCGGCCTTTT